TTTAGAGGAAAACATACAGAATAATTAAAATTTTTAAGGTTGTATTTACTTTTTTTTGCATATACTTAATTAAAAGTTCGCTCTCTTTCCATTTTATACACACATGTATAATATATAGAAGATTATGTAAAAAAATATTAAATTTAATGAAAATTTTATGCGAAAACGTCAGATTTAAAATTTTAGTGTCACTCGAACAATAGAACAAGAACAATAGGTTGCAATAAATTTTATTTAGATACCTACAAACTGAAAAATTATATATTTTTTTTAAATATTTGACATAACATTTTTCTCAATCTGTTTGTTTGAAAACTTATCAAAATTTGTCTTCTTTCAAGATTATCAATAAGCAATAAGTCTTGAGCTAAATTTTATATTTATTTATTTATATTTACAATTTAGAGGTGTGACAAATTATTGACAAAAATTTTCAAGCTTTTTAATAAACAAAAAAATATTGAAAATTGAATTATTATACTTTATTATTAACTTTCGAATAAAAGGAAGAGTAATATTCAGGGTCGTAAAATGATATTTTTATGACTCGCTTTGGAATTTTCAGTTATGTTATAAAATACAAAGGGAAAAAGGAATTAAGCACGTAAAAACTGTTTTATGGTGTGATTTATTGATTTAATAAAAATCATTATATTTGTTAAAATATAATTATAATTTTTTAATTTTTGCTAATTTATTTTTGAAGGAATTAATGATGAAAATGAAATGTTTTTGCTACTTTCAATAAGTTCCTTATTTAGTTGGTTTTTCGCATGCTTCGAAGCAATAATAAATGTGGGTTGAATTATATATATCTATATATATATATATATAATTAACGTAACTTGGGCAGTGAACATTGTAATAGCATCAAATCGATATCGACAGTGCGCAACATTGTATATTTACAAGTAGAGAATGTTTTTTGCTCTAATGCACTTTATTTACCAACGCGTTAAATTGTTATGGAAAAAATCGATTTCTTGTGTGCGTTATCGCCCTAGAGTTCGTGCACAATGCACTTCCGGTTTTGATTAAGAATCACCACAAGCCTCAGAGCCTTTTAAATCCCGTTCTGATTAATGACACTCTAGTCTCCCATATATGCAAAAGTATGCAAATTTTGTAATTCAACTTTTAAATTTTTTCATTTATTATGCACAAACATTTATCTTAAAAAGAAAAGAAACAATTTTTCTCAATAACACTATGTTTGGAATATAATATACCTTTTATTTTAATAAAGTGTGTAATCAAAATAATAAAATTACAGGCGTAATTAGTAATGGCAATAAATAATCAATGAATAAGGGGCAATAATGAATTTCCTTGCCTCGTTAAAGGTGGTCTATTGACAAAGAGAAATTTGAGTCCAAACAATAATAATAAATTAAGGATGCTTATATGCGCTTGCCAATATATTCCCGACGGCATTCTCTTGCGGTCCATTAATCTAGAAAGAATAAGAAAAGAATTCTGACACGAGTTTCATTTCCTCTGAAATATTTAATCGTCCGTCACTCATCTCGATTTCTGCATTGACGATAACATTCAAGTGCATTGATTCAGAAAAGAAGTAAATTAAATTTGTTGTTTCACAGAAAAGGTAGAGAAGGATATTTGATCAGAGGAAAAAGGTCACGTGATATTGAGCGAGTTATAGATAAGGCTATCGTGAATATAGACATTGATTTAAAAGCAGACTTGATGTGATAAACCAATCAGATTGGTTGGATAGCGAGAGGCGCGGAATGGCTTTAGCTTTATTTTTATACGTTTCCTCTTATTTGCGACAGTGCGACTTTTCTACATACGTATATTGGCTCGTTCCTATTTCAATGGAGATTTTGTAATATCTAAATTGAAAAAGACGCCTTTAATGTATAAGACAGCTCGTGGGAAGTGAATTTAGAGCAACCTACGGGCACTCGAATAATAGAGAGATTGTACTCGATGCCATTGGCAACATCGTTATCGCTTTTGTACAAGTTCGAATCACACTTTATTCAATGGGACAACCAACTCGTTCCACAGAGAGGCCTTGATAAGATGAGGATTTTCAAAAGTGTACGAGTCTGTCGACGTCGACGTCGATGTCGGTGTCGATGTCGATGTCATTATCCTGAGCAAATATTTGCTCCTGGTTCTTTACTGTGGCTATCGATTTTGAATCGATACGAGATTTCAGAAAACTTGTTGTCAATTTCATAAAATTTTATGGACACATGTGTTCCTTTAATTAAAATCAGAAATGTTTCCATGAACTGAAAAAGCAGCTGTCAGTTAATTCGAGAACGAAACAAGAGTTGAGGTTGACTGATGTAGAAATAATCGATATAAATTTCGCCGATCGTACAACACAGTAACAGTACGTGACCATATTAGAGAAATGATGGCGTGACTGGTGCAATAAGGTGTTCAAACCCTTGTCAAAAGCCACGAGGCGAGGGTAAACCTTTGCTGGTGTTTCGAGGTACGATTGGATTAACTGATGCACCACCCTTCCAATCAAACATGTTTATCATTGTATTTTCAAAAAAGAAACCTTTTAGTCTCTTTTAGTCTCTTTCATATTTCTATTTCTATTTCTACTGTACTGCTTGTCATTGATTCTGTTGTATCATCCCTTAAATTTATTTATAAAGCAAATTGATGATGTGCTGAAGGTGCATGACAAAATGTCTGCTTTTATTTAATTAGATGATTCTCTTAATTATCCGCCTCTGACGTTACTCGACATTTTAATACAGTTTTTTATAATTAAAAAAGTGACAGAATTACATACCGCATTAAAATTCCTTTTTTAATTTAATTAAATTGAATGCCAGGTAAATTTTAATTAAAGATATTGTTTGCATGTCTTTCTAATATGTTTTAAAAGCAACTTATTCATTAATATAAAGAAGAAATGTTAAAATTAATTTGGATTTTTTCGATTATTAGGTATTGAATTGCAGCGGGAATAATTAAATTTTTATAAAATGGGTGTCAAGTTTAAGTTTTTCCTTGATATAAAATTTATTTCTTTTGGATAAAGGAACAAGAATGAAAATTTGCATAAAATTTTACAAACACACAACATCACCTAATTATTTTTCCTTTCATGGTCAATTGACACGCAAATGTTTGCAGCTTTCGAAGGTTTTTTTTAGAGTGCGATTACTTTTGCATGATTACGGTCAAGTGCAGCAAATGTCATGGCTATAGGGAAGCTTCGCGTGACATTGGCATACGATGGTGAAATTACTTTGAAAGGAATGTATATATATATGTATTTGCTACAAGTTTTCTTCCTTATTCTTCTTTTACTCACTTTATTATCCCTTATGACAACTCACATTTAGCTCACATTTGACGTCTCAATCGATAATCTCCTTCGACCGATATTTTATTATTACATAAACATTCCAAATGAAATGCTTTCATCGCATTATCAATAAACTTATTTATTCATCAATATATTTTTTAATTATCTAAACTAACATTTTTTGCGCTTATATAATAATCGTTTACTAAGATCATTTAGATTGAAAATATTAAAATTTTTATTCTTTTGTGAATCAAGAATATTGAATTTAGTGAATTTACTGATGTGATATAGTGACAAAGTTTACTTTTTATTTATTTTTTTTCTTTGAATAAGAATGTAATATAAAGTTTATGGTTGAATATATTAATCTAATTGAAATTGTAATTTTTTGCTTACCTATGAAAACTGAAAAGTGACAACAATAATGCTATAAAAGTGATTCTATTCGATTTTTCCATTACTGTTGCAATATCCTTTCTTCAGAATTCATATACATAGGTATACATATCGCGGACGATGAGAACTTTTATGCAAATGTTTATAGTCTCTTTACTATCCGTGTCAAATTCTTGAAAAATTATCGCACACTCTACAAAATGAAGTAAATAACATGAGCCATTTTTTGCTCAGCTGTATTTCAAAAATTTTGAAATTTCGTTTGATCAATTATAAATAAATTTGTTATTATCAAGATTAGAAAAATTGAAAATATAGTAATTTCCATTATCAAGTGGAATGTGTTTTGTTAAAAGGGAATAAATGTAATCCAATTAGTGCATTTGTCAGGTAGAATAAGTCTGTTATGGAAAATGATTGTAAAAATACTAGAAATGATACAGCTGCCACTAAACGGTTTTACAGAGAGGGCTGTCAAGTTTAATCCTGCCGACGAATATATATGTGTATTCTCTCGATATACATAAGTATATACCGTCTCGGGCTAGTTATTAATGGATTCGTCGACAATTTTACCACTCTGACTGGTTTTCTTTTGTTCTAAATAAAATTGATCCATATTCTATATAATGAGGTGACATTGCAATTTAATAAATTTCCTTCGCATTCAACTTGCAGAGAAAATATTACAAGATTTTATCTCTTCTTTTCCTCCAATTCCGTAAATAGAATTCTCCTTTTCATAAATAAAAATTTCTCTTCCTTTTATAACAATTTTTCCGATCTAATCAAATGTTTTATCGGGACAGTTGAACAAATTTTTATTTTTCAAACAAAGTTTAGAATAGTATTACTTTATTCTAAAAATAATGTCAGAACTGATAAATTTTATTATTACACACATTTGCAGCAATTACCGCAATTTTCAAAAAAGTTTCGGTTCTTTTCTTTTTGAGTTTCTAGTGCTTAAAGCAAAATTAATACCCTTTTTCTCGAATTAAGTTACTATAAGTATACTCATTTATCATATCAATATAAATTAGATGGATATTATATAGTCAAGAAATTTAATAAACTCAAATGAAAAAAAATTAATTGCACTTTGACATTTAATTTAAAAATTGGCCTTCAATTTTTCTTTCTATAATTGATTGAGAAAATAAAGAGCCACGAAATTAGGTCAATTCAGATAGATTTCTATAATGAAATTCCTATTTTTTTATATGTTCAAAACAATATAAATTGAGAATATTTGTTGAAATCTAAAATAAAATTGTAAATTTAAAAAACCAACCTGTGGACATGGTGAAAATGCAAGAAATGATAAAAATGAAGAATTCCATTCTTTATTTATTATTTTTTCTCCAGATAATTGGCAAGTCACTGAACTGCATATGTAGTCATCGAATGCAGATTTCCACCACTTGTTCCCCGCAGAAATTCACACGCTCCTTTTATCACTGCCACGCGACATCGCACATTTTCTTTCAAGTTTCACACCTCACTGCACATAAATATTCATTTTTCTTATAAATGGTTTAAAAAAAAAATTTCATCATTTCTGGAATAAATTATTTATATTATTATAACCAAGTAATTAAATAATTATTTATTTTTAAATTAAACTGAGTGATTAATTGATTTCTACCATGTTAGTATATAGAATTTTGATAATTGATTGAAAGCTCGCTCGTCAAGCTTATTGTATAATGTATTCAAGTTAATATGAGACAATTAAATATTTATGCCAAATTCGTTGTGACAACAAAAATGTGAAAAGAAAAAAGACTTGATTGCCTATCGTAAAATACTCTCGGTAGAAGACGAGGCGCTTGATAACATTATACGCAAACTCGTAACTTTACTTCAAGAAATATCACAAAAAAAGTCACGTACAAATTTGCAAGGAAATTATAAACTTGCATTCTATATTGTTGGGAAAATATAAAAATATTACATTTTGGGATTTTCCGTAACATCGCTTGCGGATTCAAATTAAATTTTTCTCTCTCTTTTTACAAAAGATTTATTCCAAAACGGCAGTATAAAAAAATGTTTTTTTTCATTACCTACTAGTTAACATTGCACCTAGTCCCTGCTTCTGCTCTTATTTTATAGAGTATTAAATTTACTTACTTTCCGAGTTACTTTCTACTTCGAAATTTATACCAATTCCGGTGGTCTTTAACTTGAATTTAGTCGCTTTATACACTGTAAAACGAGGTATTCAACTTCTGAGAGAATTCTACAAATGTCGCAAACAATTACTTGGGAAATTATTAAATTTCTATTAAAAAGTCTGTTTTTATTTACAAAACATTTGCTTTTGTTTAATTTATAAATTAAATTATTGTATTTAAAAAAATGTTTTCATGGGAAGTTTATAGAATTTGTTTTAGTGATAAAATTAAGAAAACACTTGTGCACGTTAATGAAAATTTGTTATTGTTAATGAAGAAGCGCGCGCGCGCGCGTTTTTAAATATAAGGGGTAGAATTCGTTCACATGCATGGCGACGCTTCGGCGTTACGGCCGATACTAAAATGAGCGTCTCGACGCTCGCCGTTATCAGGACAATTCACGTGGTTTTGCGCACGCGTTCAACATATAACAGGGAAGTCCCGTAGGATATTATGGGCAAGGGTGCGTCTCACACTCCCATACATACAGACCTTCGAAACGTGCCTAATCTAATTTTCAGTAGATAATTGCGCCAGGACTGTCACAACATAATCTGGATTAGTATGCGAACAGTCAAATCGACTTTTCAAAATAAATTCATATTTTCTTCCTCTCTTCTACTCTTCTACTTCTTTTTAATTATTTTCAACAATAAGTAATTATTACAATACAAAAATGTTGATTCATTTTCAACTATCATTTTTTCAATTTCCCATTACTGGTACTCTTCTAGATTCTAATCGCTTCCAGGAACGTCTTATTGAAAATTAATTGATTTTTAATGAAAATTAAAGTGCGAGGAAAGTGAATTATTTGAAATTGCACTCCCCTTGAGGAAGTGTTAAATAAAAAATAATTGAATTTAAGGGAAGAAGAATGGCCAAGACGTTAATTTCAACAAGTTTTAATAGTTCGCGTGCTTATAATGATTATGCGCTAGGTGTGCAATAATCCAAGATGGAGAACGTATCAAAGTTGTCCGCCACCTACCAGCACGATATTTTGCATAGGGGAATAAAGATTACGCTTTTGTCGTAACTTTCAATAAAAAAATGAGAAATTGTTGAAACGCGGAGGGAAACATTTAGCCTATAATTTGTTTTGTAGACAATTACATTAAACATGAATAAAAACAATATTCTAAAGATACACGATATTCATCATTAATGATGTATGAAAATGTAATTTTCTTAGTTTTTTTTGTCTGCGGATGCTGTGCAGCAGCAAAGTCGAAGAGGGGTGGCTGCTGATTTTCTGAGTCACAGGCATTTCCCGCGGAATAATGGCTCTTTCAGAACTGACTGTTACACAGAAAAATACCCCCAAAGCCATAACTAGGCAACCCTCTTAGACAATTCGCCGTCACATATATGAATTTCAAATGACGTGACACTTTTATGCATTCCTTCTCACTATCCTTCATGCACATAATCCTTGCGCGCACAAAGACCGTGGATTTTAGTCAACTTATCATTTTCATGTACTGAAAAGCTCTTCTTTCCAAAGTCGCTAAACCCCCGTGAGAATTATGATTAATGTTCTTTTATTCATAGCACAATAATAACAGCTAAACACGTTACACGAAAAACAAAAAACGTGCGTGAAATATTCTTGTCTTCAATATTTACAATAATTAGTTTTCCATAACTCTTCTGGCAAAAACAAATCTCGTAAAAAATGTATAACTAATGTTCTCGCCAATTGATGTTGGTTTTTCCCTTGGTCCAATATTGGCAATAAGAGGATGTTTGTAGACAGAAAATTTATCTTAATGTATCTAAAAATTGAGCTACTCATCCAGTGCAGCAAAATTATAAAATGTATTCTTTCTTTATTATAGAAAACTGTGATTAACATTTTCATTGTATGATAAATTATTTATTTTATGATGATTTTGAACGGAAAATCCTGACACTAAATTTTGATGTTTTTATAAACTACTACATACATACATACATACATCTACTTCGTCAATAATTTTTACTGTCATCGTTAAAATTCACCCCTCTGAATAACATATAGGAAATATTTTTTCCCCGTGTGCATATATTGATTATTTCCAAGATGACTCTTTCATTTATGTTAAAATCTTTTTAAACTGATTGTATTTTCTAGTTTAGAGCGCCCCTTACACGAGTTTAATAATGTATTTAAGTCTTCATTGGAAAATCGAAATTTGATAGGTATAGATACTGGATTAAAATATCTAAATAAACTTTTTTCAATTTAAAAACTGAGTCAACTATAAAAAAAAGTCAGTAAATTTTATATTGCATTTGACAAGAATTTGCAATTCAAACAAGTATTTAAATTTTCAAGTAGCGATATAAATTCAAATGAAAAAATAAATAAATAAAAAACGTAAATATGCGTTTTCGTATCTTTGTATATCCATATAATGTCCTGTAACTTTTCTTGAATGCCGGCAAAGAAGACGATTATTTTATTCCAAACGATTGCACACTACCTTTTCCTTTGTACAAGAAGCATACCTATCGTTCACGCAATAAAAGAAGACAAATTTTCCAATAAGAGACTAAAAGTTGTGCTCTAAAATACATAAAATTCAATTCGCTGTAGCATAACAATGAGTTATTGATCGATATCAAAATTTGGTTAGAAAGAGAATGAAAAAATATTTCTTCTGTTCAAAAGTCCATAATGAATACCTAACAATTATAACAAGCGCACGTCAATAGATGTTTATGGATACATATACATATAACAATAATCATACGTTATTCGGTTTAAAACGCACACTCTGTCTTGTTGAATATTCATTGGATATAACTGGTGGGTGCAAAAATGTTGCCCTCGGTTTGACCTTATATTGCTCAGAGTCAAGTCAACACATTGGCTGAGTTTAAAAACGATTTCAAATGATAAATTTCAAAATAATTCTCTGCTTTTACTCCCATTTCTCTTGCATTTTGGATTAGAACATTTCACTAGTTTTATATTTTATTAACTAACAGCTTATAATTCTTTGCTTTAGCACTTTAGGGCTAGCTTAAGGACTCTTTCTAATTTAAGATTTAACACTTTTAATTTTGGATTGTCATGAGCGTGCACACTCTTGCATTACAATTATTTATGAAATTGATTTTGACTTATTTGATGTTCAATAAAAAAGAAAATAAAATAAAAAGAGGTTGGTCTACTTTCTAAAGCTTCATCATCTCAAATCATTGACTTTTCTAATATATTTTTCATGGCAAGTATAGAGAGAGAGAGAGAGAGAGAGAGGAGGAAAGCTCGCACGTATATATTTAAGCACCTCATCACAGATGTATGTTAATTTAACAAAAATAGATTTATGGTTCAGCATATTTTATTTCAAGGCCAGGGGATAATTTATTCTTATACATATAATTTATACAAAGCGCGTCATTTCGGAAATGCCATTTCTTTTATATGCGGAAATAATTTTTTTCTTTTTTGAACATATATAAATTGTTTCGGCAATTTTTTTAAATGACATTTCATTCAGGATAATGGGTCGCTAATTTAACATAAATAAATTATATATAATTAATTTATTATTCTATAATAATTAAACTGAAAGTTTAACCACTCCTTGGAAAAGTTTTAATTAAAATTTAAAACAATATGTGGTCTGATAATTCTACCCATTAAACAACATTTTTATTTTCAAATATAAATTAAAGAAATATATCTTTATAATTTTTTAAATGTCCAACAAACACGAAACCTATAAAACGATGGAAATATAGCACGAAAATTCATTTAAATAATTTCTAATGAGGTGTTGGTTTTTTATTCATCTTTTATTATCTTTTACCAAAATCTTTTATATTTTATGTTGTATTTAATTTTTTATTCATATACTTCCCTGCCAGAAGTTGAAAAAAATTGAAAAATTTCCTACTTGGATAAATTAGAAAGTGAATGATACATTACCGACATTTTTTCTCATATTTTTTTTATAAATTAAAATTCAAACTTTTTCTTTAATTTGTCGTTTATATTTAAAAAATGAACTAATGTTTAAAAATGACTGTTTTTCTAAAATGAAAAAAAAAATATTAAGAAAAGAATTTATCTTTTGCTGCTAAATTATCATTTACCCGAAGAGTAAATCGATATTTTGTTACAAGTTGAAGAAATGAAGGAAGGGCAGCAGCAGAGTAGGATAATCACTACTTTTATTAAAAAAAATTTATTTTCTTTATCGTTAATATTATTTTAAAATTTTAATAAAATCAGAAATGTGTTAATTAGTATCTTGTCTGACTTTAATTGAATAATAAAAAATGTATCCTTCAATTAAATGTATTATCTACTTTGAATAGACAAATATAAGAAATAATTTATTATTTAATGTATCGTAGGAATTATTTCTCTTGCGCTTTATTTAAAAAATATTTTGAAAAAGTATGCACAATTTAGAAAAAAGGTTTTTAATCTTGTACAGTAAATTTCATGACATAATCCACTCTTTTTCATTTGAAATTGAGTCGTAAACCATAAAAAAAGGCCGAAACCAGGAGAAAATGTAACATCGGGTTTGCAGAATCGTAAAAAATCTCATGAACTCTCCTGCGATACATGGTGTATAGAATTGCCCCGCAGTATCGGGGTCAGTTGGCGAAATAGGTCAGCAAAGCAATAATATTTTACACAGGACGGTGTAGAATAAAACACTTCCCCATGCAGCGAAATGTATTCCTCTATATTGCCATATCTTTTTCCACTTACCTACTTCGCCCCCTCAATTATGATATTGCAATCAATGAAAACAACAGCATTTATTTAATTCTCGTGTTTTTCACTTCAGTCATAATTTCAAACAGTATTTCGCACACTTTTGTATAAGATATATTATAATTTCTTACAATTTTATCAGTAGTTATTGTCAATATTTTAATGGTTTTTAAAATTTTAATTTTTGTTTATGTTTTAGACTTTAACTGGTTCAAAGGAAATAAATTTGCGGTCGGTGAGTCTTTTCTTTTTAATATATGTATGTCTACTGTAGTAAAACAATGTTTTTTTATTAAACAAATCATTGCGAAACACCATTATTGAATTAAAATTTACTTAATTCTGTTCTACTCTTCTGCAATTATGTTTGTTGGCACTTTGAGATGACATTGCGAGATGACAACCGGGATGAGTAAATGTCATTCATATGTTCGATTTGAATGAAATATAATTAATAGTCTTTTATCAAAGTTTTGCTTTATTCACTCGTTAAGGGTTTATGTTAATAATTATTTTTTATTTCCAAAATTAAAAGTAACATTCTCACTAATGTAATACATAATACATAATATTAATGGCAATTGCTTTATTATTAGAGGTTGCAAGTCAAACACAAATTTTAATTAAAAACTTGTATAATGTGCTTTGTCTTTGAATGCTATTCAGAAATTTCAAATATTTGAACTCTAAATGGGTTCCCTTTTGCAAATTCTCTTTGAGATATATATAATATATAAATATCTGATATGAGAGCTGGCATTAACTATAATATACATATGTATCAAAGTTCATTTAGGGAAAGTTTTCAACTAACGTGAGATATCTGAAGTAAGTTAATCATTCATTTGAAATCACCTTTTTGTGTTGTGTTATATCAATCCAAGTGATCGAGGTTTTAATGCATTCCCCTTATAGGGGAGACTATAGAAAATATTACAGTAATCGAGTAATTTTTTATCATATTAATAAAACTAATAATATAATTATTGTAAATAAGAAAGAAATTCTCTAATGTACTTTCAAGTGCACTCTAGCTGTGCATTTCATTTTGTTTTTAATGAATATTCCTCTTAAATAAGATTGTAAATTGCATTATAAAGGATTTCTTTCTAAATTTGATTTATTCTAAAGACCGTAAGTTCCCATGAAGCACTTATGGCATTTTCTAGTTTCTTTCTGATGATAAATTTCTGTCATTAATTCTACTGTCTTCCAACACTTTTATCACCATTAGAAGCACACACTTCGCACAATTTTTGCCCAAAGAGAGCTCGGATGAAAAAATGTAATTTATCCATGACGGGATAATTTTTTTTCCTTCTCGCTCCTTATTTTTATTTAGAACCAGTACAATAATAATAAATAATGGTAAGGGATAAGTGTTGGGGAAATTTAATGGGATATTGAAACGATAATACTTGAAGCAACATGACCGAATCTCTAGTTAGACGGAAGGACGGGTAAATTAAGACATTACAGGTTGTTTACAATGCTAGTTAATTAGCTCTAGGCAGACCTTCTGGTTGTTTACAGTCAAGTTTCCTGGTGAATATGCATAAGCAACGCCATATTGAATGCTTGCGAACTGGATTTAATCCACATAAACTTCTTAGGCATTAAATATCTCAAATCTTTATCTTAACATGATCTTGAGTCAACTCAAGTAAATTAATTTTCAACTAAATATCCTTTAAAACAATAATGCTCCTCATAAATGTAAGCACATATTTTTAAATTTTACAGCAGATATTTTAAACAATTTCAATTTTTAAATTCAGAAAGGTCAAATATTATAGAACAATGAATTATGTATAAATGTATAATGACAAAAATCCTCGAAACGAAACGGTGTAAAATTTAATTTATTTATAATTGGAGTAAAAAAATATTTTATAAATTTTTGTTTTCTGTGAACAATGAAGGAAAATTTTTTCTGTTGCCGCACAGTGTCTGGCATGAAATATTCGCATTTTTTTAAACATACTATGAATTATATCAGCTCTTTTCACAACGAGTGACACATCGCTGGCAGTATCATATTTTACGTCATTCCACATAAACCAATTTATAAAGTTTCCAATAAAAACTTTTTATTGATTTTCTATCTGCATTTATACACTGAAATATATTGTTTCTCAAATATCATAAAACGGGATGGGGACGTAATTGCAGTAACTTTTTTATATCTCAGTTAGCAACAAAATAGTTTGAAATAAAATAAAAATTTATTTGTATATAACAATTACAAAAAAATTTTTTATAATAGAAACTGTTTTTACAATATTATTATACTAAAGTCGCCTGTATAATAACAATAAATAATAATTTTTTATAATAACTAACGTAAAATAGTTTACAATGTGAATTACATTTTTATAACAGTTGATCTTAGAAAATATTGTTCGTTTTATTAAAATATAGAATTACATAATTATATTAAAATTAAATTAAATGCAAAAATATATTTTGCAATTACATAATAAATAAATCTTTTTACTTGGAAATTAGAGAATTTAATGTTGAAAGATTTCAAATTAAAAATTTTCACCATCATCAATTAAATTGATCTATCTTTCATATAAATTTGTTTATACAAAATCACATGTAGTCTATACGAAAATCCGATTTCGGATTCTAAATCACATTTTGGTTCTACATTAATTATATAATACTTTGCACGTCCGTATTTGTTAGTACAAATCACATTGATTGTCATTTTTTTATTTACTTATAAAATTAACTTGACTTTTTTTTAAGAATGTCAATATCTTTCTTCATCGGCACTTGAAACGATTTCAGGTGGTTTCGAAGGTTTTGGTAGAACAAAGACAATAGCAGCGCAAGCTAAAATAAAAATCAACATTTGAGAAAAAAATAAAAATATAGGTGTAGAGAGTTAAGGAAAGGAAAATAATCTGATTGAATATATACCAAGCATTAAACATCCAATGGACATGAATGCCGCGACGCATTCGGCATCGAGGAGGCTTGAAAATGCGAAATTGCCAATGACAGCGGCGAAATTTCCTATCAGATTGATAATGCTGACTGCGGTAGATCTGAAAGATGAAAATCCGAAACGATCGTTTTATATGATAATGTGTTATATGAATATATGGACTTTGCCAAACATAATTTTTATATATGACTTTTATAATTTGCACATTGCCAGTTGAGGTCCATGCTAATTTCTAATTATTAGTGACATTTAGTGTGCGGACATAGTAAAAGAAGAGACAATTTTAATTAGTTAATTTATTTCTTGACATCTAATTAATTACCTTAATGGCACTGGTATTACTTGAGCATTCACCGCTAGAACGATGTTGCCAGCGATTCTCATCGTAACAACGATGGCTGCAGATAACGTCAACATACATGGCACTAGCTCTGCCCAATTGACGCCAAAACTGCATACAATCGAGACTATAAAGGTGAAAACTGGAAACGTCGGATTATTATATAACTATTATAATCAATTTCAAACAATGATTTAGGTTCTTAAACAAAGTCGACTCACGCATTATAATTTCTATTCTCCTTCGAGAGGTCATTATAAATCCAGCGAGAAAGGCAAACACCACGGTTGACATTGCAATAATCGTTGAATTAATGTACACAGCAGCCTCGATGTGAGACTGTCAAATGAAAGTGAAACACAATATTAAATGTGTTTTCACATTAAATAAATGCCAGATAAATTTATTGATAAATTTCTTTTAGGAGTGAATATAAAATGCATATTCAATTTACTTGCCGGTGCACACGACTGCGAGTGGGTGCTGTAATTTTGGATCAGATGAGACATTGGAAATTTAGTTGGAACTAACATTTCACACATGGTGAGTGTCTCATTTGACGGATATGCATGACGGAATTTCCTGCCAAAATTATTCAGCATGATGAAAAGTTGCGGCACCCATAATCTCATGGTGTTTAACCTGTAAGCACCGACCGCGTCAGCAAATCATGTGTCGTTTTGCGCAAATGTTGCGAATCTCGCTAAAATTTAATTGCAAATGACTAAATGTCACATGCAAAATTCACACTAAAATATTATTTCAAACAACATTACGGTAAACATTCCAATTAGCTTTATCAGGAAATACGAACTTATTTTAATATTAAAATATTATGAAATTTTATTTACGTTTCAAATAATTTGCAGTTGAATCCGATTTGAAACTAAATTTAAAAAAATAATTAAAACGTACCCAAGCATGCTTCCAAACTGAAGAAAAATGAGAATAGATAAAGGCGATAAATATTGCATTGAAGTTAGTGTTTTTGCATTGGACCAAGATTTTCGAATTTGATTCTTGACTGTCAGGTCAGCATCTTCTTGTTGCGTTTGTGTCTCTTTCACTCTCAGTACCTTGACCTGTTTTGCAAATAATTAAAAAATTACTACTTATCAAAAATTGTTTTTGTTGACAAGTGAAATTATATTAAAAATTTGATTTTGGATTAAAAATAAACAAATGGTCGAGGTTCCTCAATCATTGCTGATAACTGAACTGGCTTGCTTACTCAATCATATATTGTAGTGAAATACAAATATTACCGGGTACGATTTCGGAGACTTCCACGTATTCATAGAATAAATTTTTCTTAATGATTTTAGTGCTTTTTGGTAACTACCATCGGACATAAAGAGTTTTGGACTGTCCGGTGTAAATGCCATTGTTATTAGACCAATAACTGATGGAACTGAGCAGATTAAAAGGTAAACTTGCCATGTTGCAAAAACTTGACCAGAAATTTCGAAAGAAAATGGTGAGCTGTATGGCAAAACGTTGAATGCGAGAGCTGCGAAAAAGGATAAAATTATTTTTTAATCAAAATAATGCTTTCATTCGAATTTAATTGAATGATAACCATTATTAATTATTGTAAATTAATTAAAATAAGTAATAAATTGATTATACCTGCTGGAATCATGAGAGATATTCCGAAAATAAATCCGGCCCATCTTGTAAATTGCGGTTGATATTTTGGGGCATGAAATTCTGCCAAATACGGCAGTAGTATTGTGAATGGTCCACCAACACTGAAAACATATTTTCTTTATCAAGCTCTGTATATTTTTAAAACAATCAAATACTTTTAGTTGCACAAAAAATTAGTTCACAATTATCAATTTCAATAAAAAATGCATATAATTTTCTCGTTGCATTAAATTAAATTTAAAACTATTATATTACTTTAGTACCAAATTTTACTAAAATAAGAGAATTGCTGATCTTATTTCAATTTAAATTTTTTTTCTAAACATAAAACAAGATTTTATAATTGATTTTACGATTTTTCTACGTACATTACGCCACTGATGAATTTCAGTAGAAGAAACATATAGTAAGAGTCGACAAATGCACTTGTTACATTGCAAATTGAATCGACCAGTAATCCTAACAAGAGTAAATTTCGCTTTCCTAGATGATTTATCAATGAGTCTTGCAGCATAAAGTCCCACAGGATTCCCGACACAATTATCCCTAATAATTTCAAAAAAATAACACTTGTCCTTCAAACATTTTTTATGTTAATAGTTTTTTCCAAACTAACTATTTAATATGAAACATTTATTTATAAGTGTTTAAGGGGGAGACATGTAATATATAAATGCAACATAAAAATGGGACTTTAAAGGAGAGTTGACGACACTTTTTTTTCTACCGAGTAGAGGTGAATCATGTTTATTAAAGTTGAAGCTAACTTGAAAGTGCTACTTTTACGATACAATTTTTGATGTGTTCTCGAAAAAGAAAAAATGGAAAAAAAACTGTGATATATGTACGCGACATACAACTTAAATTAAGTCATACACTTTTTGCACGATCTGCAAATATTTGTTGTTCATCACAATATCCAGAACTTTTATTGTCGTAAAAATGTTGAGCGTAAAACTTGTCACGCGCACTCTTTAAATTTGATTTTTATATTTTTCCTCTAAACTCTCTAATTGATGGTTTTCAGATAATATAAATAACTCAAAATAATTGTCTTTTGATTGTTTGAAATTTTCATAGTTTTAATAATGTAGAATAGTTTAAATATATGATTGTTGCTATAGTTTTATGATTGTTGACTATTATATAGTATTTTATTTTCCGAAAACATTTTCTATTGTTGTGAGGTATAACTTTTCAATCGTGCTTCAACGAATATTATTATTGTTATTACTGAATTGAAATTTCATGCTACCTGGGGCGTATAAGTTTTAAGATTAAAATCAGTAAATGATGCTAAAATAAAATTAGCAAAATGTCTGCATGTGAGTAGACAAAAGTTATCTAAAGACGATCTTAAAGATTGCAGTACTTTTAATAATTAAAAAACAGTCTTCTTTAAAGACAAATTCTAGCAGGGTTTTCGTGTATTAAAAATATATTATTTACCCATGTAAACAATTGATACTAGGACACCCTTTCGAAAAAGAGTGAGATCAAAAACACACTCAACGGCGGGCAAGATGAAAGCTGAACTCGTTGTGTCAAATACAGCTGACCATCCAGCTGGTAGAAAAGCCAATAACAGCAATATGTTGTAAAATCCATAACCTTGGAATTAGATATCAAAGACCATAAATTTTTTATAAAACCGTCATGAAAGTAAAATGTTTAGTTCACTTGGAAATTAAATATTCTTTATTAAATATTTAGTTATTGTCATTCTTTTTTTTCTTTCTATATTTATACAATTTTATACTCATTTTTCTCTCATGGTAAAATATGTTTTCTATTTTTAATATTATTCAAAATGAGCTAATAAATGAAGTATAACTAGTTCAGAATATAATTATTATTTTCATATTATCTTCTGACCTTTATTTCAATGTTTTTCAGAATTGCGAATTTATAATTATACGTTACTGTATTACATGAATGTATATTATATGGAAAAGAGCAATAGCCCCAGGTTATACTGTCAAGTAAGAACAGTCTAGTTTATGTTTCAATTTTAATTTATTTTTTTTCAAGTATCTATACTTGTAATATTTTTTGAAACCTGTATCTTTTGAATTGTATTTTCATTTTATCAACAGTAGTTATGAAAATGAATATATAATTTAATAATTAAGAAATCACTCACCAGATTCGGAAATTGCTTGCTCATAATCGTGAGATTCATCGTTTCTTCCATTTTCACCTATGAAAGGAAATAAACTTTATAAATTTTGCGCATCAAATATTCACACCACGCGCACGCTACTCTTTTGAATTCTAAAATTATAAATAAATCTCATTATGTAATCACAATCACATCAGTGCCTCACCAATTACCCAAGGACCATTTCCACTTTTTCCAGATACCATATCCAAAATTTTTAGTTCAATTCCAAAATGAAAATGAACAAAAATTTATCAATAGAATGAAGCAGGGAATAAAAATATAAAAATGAACAAGTAAAAAACTGTCAAAGTTTATCTCTCGATAATTAAGCTTGATGTAAACACTTTTCGAGTTTGATAAGGTGCCAAAATTTTCATCCGGATGCGAATCACAAATTAGGTTATTCACTACTATTTTCAGATGTTCAGTTTTAATTACGTTCTGGATATATTGTAAATAGCTTAATTTTAGAGGGGAAAGTGGTGAAATTTTTATCTACTTATAAATAACGAGTTAGAAATAAATAAATAAAAATAAGGAGGCTAAGAAAATGAAAATTTTTGCGTCGCTACCGTTTGAATGATTAAGAAAAACTAATGTCTTGATTGACTGACATTTTGCAAAGGCGAGAACAAGCCTGTTCATAAAACCTAGGCACACTGGCACATTTCCCAGGCACGCGAGTGACAGACTTATCAATAAACATGGGTCAAATGATTCAATTGTTACGGTCATTTTTATTTGATTCGTCTTTTAAGTAGATACACATTTTTTTTATCATTATTCTTTATTCAAGTGCGTTAGCGGGGAAAAACTTTGTTCAGTTCATTTTGTTTTCATCCGCTTACAGTTTCCCAATTTCCTCATGAAAAATTAAAGAATTATCATAAACGTGGTACTTTTAAAAAATCACATAATTTTATGAATTTTTAATATACTTACATTTATCGGTTACATATATAAATGTTGTCATTTATATTCAATGGTAGTTTTATATGGTTATAAAGCTTTATAAAGATATTAATTTAAATTTGTTAATTTCATCTAATAAATGATCATTATTTTAATTAGGGTCTTTTTTATTGTTGGTTATAAATTTATATTGTGAAAGAGTTGTTAAACACTCATTAAATATGTTTATATATTTAAAATAAAATAAAATGTTAAAAATTAATTATGTTAATTAATTAATTATAAAGTTAAATTACTTAATATCTTTGTGGATTTGCAAACTAACAACATAAATTTTCATGATTTGTTACAAAAATTTTTTTCCTGATAAATTATTCGTTTGTTATCTGAATTACACGGCGGTGATGATGATGATGATGATGATGATAAAAACAGTTCCATTTTTAAAATTTTTTATTTACTTTTTTCTTTAACATTATTTATGGCTATACTAAGAACAAAATCTTTTTTTATAAATAGAAATATTTAAACAATGCAATGATAGTATTTTTTAAAAGTAATAAATTTGAGCCCTCTTTTTTCAATTAAAAAGACTTTTTTTCAATTACAATATTCAAATTGTTTCTCTGGACTATTATCCAACTTTGTATCGTAATTCTTGTTTGATAAATGAATAATTCTCGATATAAATAATCATGAAAACCAGTTGTAAAATGAAGAAAATTAAAAATTCATTAAATTTGAATTTAAAATTGTGCGCACGCATTATTATACATATAGCTCTCAATATGATGTGATTCGAAACTTATCATAATTTATTGCATATATTTCTAATGGTTGACAATTATTTCTACATCATTTCGAAATCCTTGCAATTATAAATTTTTTTATATGGAATCTGATGCACTCTGTCTACTCTTTTTTCAATCCTTCTTTAATATTCAATTTGTGGAAATAAAAATGATGTAAGAGGGATGTTTTCTAATTTAAATAGAAAGAATAAAAATTTTCTTTTCTATTTAAGACACAGTGTAATTAATAATAATTATACAGTTTAATTTTCTCGAAATGATTGTGCCAAAATAAAAATGACACTGAAATGAAGATATTTTTCAAATGTATTAATGCTAAATGAAAAACGTGATTTGTGAAAAAATGAATGTAATTAATAATTCATGGAGATTGTAATTAGTAAATTATTAAAATTTTATGAAATGAGTGAAATAGGTATTATTAATATTGAATAATTGTCATTTGGAGACAAGACAGACTACACACATTTGTTTGTTTGCACGTGCAATGATGGTAATTTTCGACCTTGATCTTCTTTTAATCACTGATATCAAAATGTGCTACCGATAAGCGTCTCATGATAGTTGGGACCAGTAGGTATAATTATTGCAGCTTTAGTCTTAGTTGCTGCCAAAAGCGTACACTCTCTGAGAGAGATTCACCAACGCTTTGCGGTTTGGCGCTTCGGCTCCTCCTAATTAACGGAACTCGCACAACTTTGATCGAACTTGAAATTACAGACTCTAATGCTCTAGTCAAATAATTTCAAGTTTACTCCACCCCACTTTCGCATTTTAATTAGTACTCATTAAACTTAAAGACAATGAAAACTTGCTTACCGAAAAGCAATTTTTACAAAATTCAAATTATTTCCGAGATTGAAAAACAATTTGGAATTTTAGTTTTAATTTCGATCATGTAACGGCTAAATAACGTGATAATGATTTTCATTAATGTTCATAGAATATTTTTTTCCAACTGAGATTATGGCAATAATAATGTATTAGAGGCTTTAATTTTGAAGAGGTCCGCAACGGCTGTTTCCGCAAAGAGGAGCAACTTTGAAAAGCTCGTTCTGGTTGCGAGCTACACCCGTTTGCACCCGTTTGCCTGGAACAGAATCGTGGCTGGAATGAGTTTGAGGTCTGGCGCAGGTGTTCAGGAAAGGGGCTTCATTGCACTGACTATATGCGGTTTTAGAGCGAATCCTCTTTCTATCCAGATTCGTATTGATTTCTTTCTCAGCGATCGACTTCTATATATGTATATGCGTATCTCTTATCAAGTTTTCAATTCGCATAAGCTGTCTTGAGAAAATTACAAGTTTTTCTAAACTTTTCGTTATGAAATTTTAAAAGGAATTTTTTTATCCAATTCCAATTCTTTTATTGTTTTATTTATTAAAATCTGCAGTTAATGTGTGTTGATAAGGAATTTTTCAGTGAAAATTCTTCTCTTCATTTTAGTATCGACTGAGTAATAGGGAATTAATAAAGTTTCTCTTGGTCGACACTATAGCGCTGAAAGACCTGATTAAATAGTAATCAATAAAAATTAGATGATTAAAATAATGAATTTTATAAATTTCCTTCTTTCTCTTGTTTTTCAAAAGTTATAAACTAGCCAAATTTTTATACGCATATGTTTAAATAAATATTTTCTTTTTACAGCTTTTTATTTTATAAAGGGAAAAAATCAGTTTGAAGAGCTCATTGATTATTAATTGTTACATCTATTAAATTATTAATTTTACATTAAAAATAATTGTCTTGATAAACAAAATGTTTCGCATTAAAATTTATAAAAAATTAATCATTTAAAAATCTCCAAATTAAAACAGTCATAATAATTACAAGGAAATATATATCTGTTATTATAGCTATATATGATTATTATTTTTAATTATATGTAGCATATGTTATAATTTCTCAATTATAAAAATAATATGAAAACTCTACTTTTGAATAATATAATACCTTTATTTAATAACATATTAAAATTTTATTAAAAACAGTTATTTCAATTATTGTCAGTGATAAATTAGAGATGAATGAAACAAATTTTAAATTTAAGTGATTAAATTTGAAATTACAATTTTTTAAAATTAAACAATTGAAGTATTTTATGAAAGGTTTTTTATATATGGATAAATTAATATTTTTGTTACTTATCAAACTATGTATCCAATTTTCCACTGAAGATGGATCTTGTTCTTCATCATTGATAACAAGATAATGGGAAGATTCTTCTTGATTAGCACCATTACTTGTAGATGGCTCATTCATTTGAGATAAAAATATATTTATAAAGGGAGAAATCCGAGTATTTTGTTGCATACGTCTCAATAATTACTGAATATTTATTATCTTTCTTAAATATAGTAGAAAAATTTGCTTTTAGTATTATCTGTGACGAATGAAAACGTCACACAACCTTCAATATGTTACAAGGAAAAGTATAGAAAAAATTTGCTATTGTAACGTAAATGCTCATAAAATATTTTATTAAGTAAACAATTATCTTCCATAAGGTTATTATTATAGTTCTCCATTTTCATCTTCATTATGCGGATCGTTAATTTCAATATATAGACTCTCAAGTTGTATATATTAACAGAACCGATTATTATTATATTTTTATAATTTGATAATAAATCGTTTAGGTATTATTGTTTTGCAACCTTTGCTACAGATGACAGATTCTTTGAATTTACTTGTTGCAATTAATTTTAAAAAGAAAAATCTGTTGTCGATTTTAACTTTAACGTGAGATTATTTTTAAAGAAAAAGTTTGAAGAGTGGAAGATTAAAAAAAGTAAAAAGAATCAAGCGTCTACTGTGAGTTTTCGATCCGTACACCTAACCTATGAGGGTCGCCAGTTGGGTAATTTGAATAAACAGAATGGGGCGCCGCGACGCCTCCATTAGGCGTCGATATTCAAAGCGGAAACAGGATCTTAATGCTAAAGTGACACGGTTAGGTCCTTTGGGAGTCAGCCACACCTAATAAGCGATAGAGTTTGATAAAGGTACAATATTTCGATTTTCGTCAACATTTTCGCACTTCTTTGAACGTTTACCGCAAATACTTTTCTTCTTTTCGATTATCCAATTAAAAAGATTCAAATTTTAGAGACCATGCTAATAATTTGAGGAAAGGCACACGGAGAAGAAATAGTTCTTCATCAGCTAAACTCAATTGCTAATAATTATTGGCTACTACAGCTAAAATTTAGCTATTATATTTAACTGACATTTTATGAAGCAAGCAGTTAAAATAAAGGTCGCGGTTCAATGAAATGTGTAGTGGTTGTGACATCCCTTAGTTAAATTGTTTTCCATTGACTTTGAATGGCCATCGGTTGCAATCGTTGCAATTACTATTAACGATTATTCCAATTCTCGGTATATGTAGGAATTGAAAACCATAAAGCTTGAAATTTTCAATCTCCTTGATCCTTTGAGCATAATTTACTTTCCTTCCAATGACGATCAATTTTCTCCCTACTGTTAATTGATAATCGGAAAATTTGATCTTTATTTCAAAATAACTCAACTAATGGTGAAATTAGTTGTAAATGAAAACTAAACTAAAAGTGAGAATTAAAAATGAGAATTTACTACATATTTCCGTGAAAAATCAGTGGCTTTCCTTCATTCAGAGTAGACGGTAAATTCTAATTAATTATTAACATTTTTAATAGACTTTTTCTAAAAAGTGTCTTATTATGTCAATAAATCTGGAGTCATGACGTGTACGCGAAACTTTAAATTATCGACTTTAATGACTGCAAGTCCTGGAAAGTGATTTATATACCGAAATGAAAATCTCCCTAAAACTTGGGTTGAGTGCATTTTCAGCCAACTCAACCGAATTAGAAAATGTATGTTTTCTACCAGTTTCGAGTCTCCATGTCGTGTACGGATAATATAATGTTGTGAAATTCTCAATATTTAATCTTTCTAAATGATTTCGTTGTTGGAGAGGA